TCTATTGGGACGGTATCCACAAAGTACCTGAAAGATGGGGGAAATGTGTAGCTAGCAATGGACATTGCTTTGAATAAAGCACTTTTGATGTTTCTCTTGAAATTATCGTGTTTTCTTTGATTACAAAATCCGCCATTATTAACCGGTACACCTAGTAATCTCAACAATAAAAATTTTTTAAAAATTAAAAAAAAAGAGCTAAAGAGCACAAAAATAGAGCAATAAGGCATGAATTTGGTATTAGAGAAACAAATATTTGTCAGTGGAGAAATAACCTCATCCATCTTCTTCATAAGACTTAAGGAAATTGCCACAAATTGAGGAAGCTGATTTATATTTTATCACTGAAATACATACAAAATATTTCCTATCACAGGTCGAGCAGTACACCTGAAGGAAGGAAAAACTGCTAAATAAATACTCCCTTGGAATGGGTGAAAGAAATTTCAAAGTAACCAGAGGCTAGTAAGATTGATCACAATCCCCACAGGACTATTGCCAAGGCTCTGTGTTTCAGTTTAAACATAAGTGTTCACTTTTTCTTGGTGAACATAAAATAATGATGAGTCTTACAACTGACAACTTGGATTAGGCTATATATATACTATACTATAAATTGCTTTTTCCTTGCTTGTTTGCCAAGTACAAGCCAAGCACAATACAATGCCTATGGAGGATACGACAATGACCCACACAGTCCCTGTCTTCATGAGGTTTATCCTGTACATTAGAGGACCTAAGGCAACCATATGAACAGCTATTATACTGATTTAGAATGGTACTAGTAGTATAAGTGCAAAGTATATATATTTTTAAGCGCACACACACAAAGAGATTTCTTCTTACTAATGTTACAGATTCTAAGAAAGCTTTACAGAAACATCTAGAAATGTGCTGTCCAATACTATATACATTAGTCACGTGAAGTTAAATTAAAATTAAACAGAACTAGCCCTAGCTGGTTTGGCTCGGTGGATAGAGCGTTGGCCTGCGAACTGAAGGGTCCCAGGTTTGATTCCAATCAAGGGCACATGCCCAGGTTGCAGGCTCGATCCCCAGTTGGAGGCATGTAGGAGGCAGCTGATCAATGATTCCCTCTCATCACTGATGTTTCTATCTCTTTCTCCCTCTCCCTTCCTCTCTGAAATCAATAAAAATATATATTTTTTTAAATTAAATAAAACTAAAAATTTGGTTCCTCAGACTTAACCACATTTCAGGTGCTCAACAGCCACATGTGGCTGGGCACCTGTACTGGACAGTGCACAGACACTGCCAACATCGCAGAAAGTTCATTGGACAGCACTAATTTGGAGCGTTCAGGAGTTAGGACAAAGCACAGAATAGGCACACAAAGACAGTTTAGCCTGGCCAGTGTGGCTCAGTGATTGAGCATAAAGACCTATGAACCAGGAGGTCAGGGTTCGATTCCCAGGCTGCAGGCTTGATCTCCTGTATGGGTTGTGCAAGAGGCAGCTGATCAATCATTTTCTCTCATCATGGATATTTCCATCTCTCTCTTCCTCTCCCTTCCTCTCTGAAATCAATAAAAATATTTTTTTTTAAAAAGGACAGTTTATCTAATCTTTATGGAAAAACACTGTTTCTAATTGTGTATCCATTTTTCCATGTTGCCTCTGACATTAGAGTGGCAAAACCAGGCCACTCTGGTCTAAAAACAAGCTCAGAATGCATAGCTAGGAAAAAGTCAAAGCTTAAAAGTTACATGAGTGAAAAAGATTATTCACAAGCTCACCTTAGTTCACCAGAGTGAAAATTTACCAAAAGCTTAGCTAGAAATAAAGTATTAGTTTGCCTAATCCTTTAGTGGCTAATTAGAAATCAGTCAATAAATATATTTATGGAAGAATCCATTCCTTAAGAAACATTTGCTGAGCACCTTCTATGTACCAAGCACAACGGTAAAGAGGAGGAAGAGAAACATTTAAATCATTAACTCTATTCAGCAAATATCACGATAGTTTAAGAATTATAAACTCCTAAGCAGGAACCCTAGCCCGTGTGGCTCAATAGGTTGGAGCGTTGCTCCATACACCAAAAGGTGGCAGGTTTGGAGTGTGTGAGGGAGGGCCTTTTGATGTTTCTCTCTCTCGGCAGGTGACAATAAAAAACAAACTCCTGAGCAGGGGAAAAAATCAACAAATTCTGCTCATCTGTGGTTCTTGAGAGACAGCAGGAAGGGAGGTAACAAAGTCCATCCCCACCATATGCCCTGAAGGTTGTTGATTCCTGTGGCACTCAGTGCCCTTTAATCTGCATCAGGCACAATGCCTGAGCAACAAGCTAACATGAATCCTTTCAAAAAGAAGAGAAATAAACTGAGGTTTATCAAATCTCTATCAAGGTTATAAAAGAAACAAACAATCCTTGCCAAAAATATAATCTCAAAGAATATCCTTAAAAGGAAATATCAATGAATCAACATTTAACAAATAACTACCCAACAGAAGGAATACAGTGGGAGCTAGGGCGACATGAAGATATTCGGGCTGTCTCCAACCTCCAGGAGCTTTCATCCACTTCAGGAGAGGAAATGCTTTTGAACAAGTACAATGCAAGCAAGTGCTGGTAAGTGGTATACTCAGGAAACAATTACAGGAGAAACTGTAAGTGAAAAGGACCTTGGAAGTCTTTTTGTCCAACCCTCTCCCTTGTCTGGAATCTATTTTTACAAAACACAATTCAGCCTAAGTACACCAGGGATGAAGATGTCACATTTCGTAGAGACCGCTCAGCTCAGAAGCAACTGAAGACAGGAGTCAAAAGGAGCTGAAGATAGTGATGATGTTTAGAAATATGGATCTGAATATCAAGAAAATACAATACTAATAATGCAGAATTATACCCTAAGGTACCACTATAGCATAAAGTCCATTATGATACAAATCCAGAGAAAATGCAAGGGGATGTTGTAAAACCATCTCCAACTATAGTTTTGACTACAGAAAAGGGAGCAGATAAATCAAAGTGGCATTCTACTCTATAAACCCTTTCCCCAGTTCTCACTTGTCTGTAGGGGTTTTTCTATTTCTATTTCCACCTAAGCCAAAAGAAAAGGAAAAACTAATATTGACTCAGTAGCTACTATGTCAAGCATGATGCTAGCCATTTATCATGAATCCTGTAATGCTTGAAGAGCTTTACTGATGACTGGAGCTCCTCAGAGATGGGCTTAAGGAATCTGTTTGGCTAAGGATCCAAATCTAGTATGATATTTGAGACATTTGGAAGACAGCTTGATGAAGAGGAAAGAGTAGTAGAAACTTTAAGAGAGAAGGTCTGGGAACTGAAGTTCTGGTCTTGCAGTTGTAGAACTACAAAAGTTGCTGGGCCTCTCTGTGTGGCAATTTCTTAAGACCTACTCCATTTACCCTTCATGATTTTCTAAGGATCGAAATGGAATAACATATTTTTTTTTCTAATATATTTTTATTGATTTCAGAGAGGAAGGGAGAGGGAGAAGAGAAACATCAATGATGAAAAAGAGAATCACTGATTGGTTGGCTCCTCAGTGCCCCCTACTGGGGATCGAGCCCACAACCTGGGCATGTGCCCTTGACCAGAATCAAACCCAGGACCCTTCTGTCCACAGGCAGACGCTCTATCCACTGAGCCAAACCGGCTAGGGCTGGAATAACATATCTCAAAGGAGTCTGAAAATATAATACCTTACTGATTTATCCATTTAACAAATACTCACTGAGCTATTCTACACTGTAGGGTTTCAGAGATGCACAAGATTGGGAAGGTCCTTGCTCTCAAGAGACTTACACTGTGGTAGATGGGAGATGGATAATAAATAAACACAAACAAGTGACTAGGAGTTCCCAATAGTGAGAATGCTCTAAAGAAAATAAAACAGATGACGTGAAAAACAGTGAATAGAGAAAAGAGAACTACTGTATTTTTTTTTTTAAAGAGCAGCATTTTTTTCTAATCCTCACCTGAGGATATGTTTGTACTGATTTTTATAGAGAGAAAGAAACATCAATGTGACAGAGAAACATCGGTCAGTTGCCTCCTATATGCACTCCAACTGGAGATCAAACCCACAACCTATGTATGTGCCCCAACCAGGAATCCAACTCAAGACCTTTCGGTGTACAGGACAACACTCCAACCAGCTGAGCCATACAGGTCAGGACAAAAGGGAAATACTTTAGATGGAATAGTCATAGAAGGTCTGGCTGAAATCACATAGCTGAGACCTCAAAGAATTCTTTAGCCAAATGTTTCCAATACCTGTGCAAACAAGTATTCTAGGTATAAGGAACGAGACACGCTTGGCATGTTCAAAGCACTGAAAAATGAGTTATGCCTAGAACACAATGAGTGAGAAAAAATATTAGGAGATGATGTTTAAAAATGTAGACAGTGGTCAAATCCAGTATGGTCTTGGACCATTAAAAGGATATTACCATTGGCATAAAGCTCTTCTTTTTATCAATATGGCCCAATAAATTGAGTCATTTATGCAAATATCAAGTGTACAGATTATCAAAAGTAGAACACTTCCAAATTTCTAACTGAGGAATGCCATTGCCAAAAACAGGGGAAGGATCCTATACGACAGCATTTTAAAGAACTATATCTAAACAAAATATCATTTACTACAATGCTTGGTAAGTCAAAAACCTCTACAGTAAATAGAAGTGATAGAATTATAAAATTTAATTTGAGTAGCAGAGTGGCGCAGCGGAAGCGTGCTGGGCCCATAAAATTTAATTTGAAAAAACACCAAAGTTTTTAATGGAAAAAATATCAGTTCATTCAGCAAATATTTATCAAACATCTGGTATGTGCCAGGCATGTTTTAAGCACCAGAGATACAGCAATGAACAAATCAATAAAGATTTAAGCAGTAATTAAGCAGAAGATTTAATGGGAGAAGGCAGAACTAAACTTGACCTTATTTTATGTCTCAGCATTCTCTGCAATAGGAGTTATAGGTATATGCACCTGTCAGAAGGCAAACTTACCAAGGAATTCTTAATCACTTCACTTCTATAAAATTCTGGAAAAAAAGAAAAAGAACAATAAGTGATCTGGAAAAAAATAAAATTCATTACCTCTTAATCTGGTAAATGTTTTAACATTTGTTTCAGTAAGACATTTTCAAGGGATCTATTCTCTCTATATCTTTATCTGTAAAAAATTAAAGTAGAAATAAAGATTAAATGAAAGTGTTTTAAAGGGGAAAACATTAGTAAAGGAAGGTCAAAACCTGTTATGATTTAAGTTAGTTATTTTTACTTTTACTGGCTCCTTTTACCCTAGATTCTAATTTGAGTCCTTAAAACTCAGACTTTCTTATCCCCTACCTACTCCCACTCTCTACAACTGATTCCATATTCTCTGTTTTTCTCAAATATCACTTACGATTATTCACTGTAGTATTGGAAAATGAACAGTGATCTAGCAACCAGGTAACTTAAGTTCTGATTCCACCTGTCATTAATATTCTGCCTCTTTCATTTCTTTGGGGCCATTTTTCATCAGAGAACTTAGAAAATTAGACTAATGACCAAACATCCTCTGTAAACATTTAAATTTAATAATTCAGCCCTCGCCAGGTGGCTCAGTTAATTGGAACATCATCGGGTACACCAAAAGGTGGTGGATTCAATTCACGGTCAGGGCACAGACCTAGGTTGCAGGTTCAATCCCAGGTTGGAACTCCTACAGGAGACAACCAATCAATGTTTCTCTCTCACATGATCTCTCTCTCTCTCTCTCTTTCCCTCTCTCTCTTCTTTTCTCTAAAAATCAATAAAAAAATATTCTCATGTGAGGATTAAAAAAAATTTTTTTTAACTTTCATAATTCTACAAACGTTCAAGAATGTTGTAAATGTTAGAAAACCCGAAGACACAATCAAAAAATGAGGCAGACATTTCCAACTACCCTCCAACATTCCCTGTAGACCCTTCCAACGTCATCTCCAGGATACTCTGTCTATCTCTACAGAGCCTACAAGGACCCTTGTATCCTTACGTTGCTAAAGAGTACTATTTCCCAAATGTGATGCACATATCATTGGTACTTGAGGTGATTTTAGATGATTCATGGACAAACTACATTTTTTCTAATACACTGAAACTTGTGTTGTACATATTACACCACTCATCATAAGCTCCATAAAGGAGGAGTAGTGGTGTCTGTTTTGGACAATTGCTGTCTCCTCAGTACATAAAACCATTCCTGGCACAGGGTAGACAAAAGTTTTTTTGAATCAACAATTTCACACATTATTCTTAACCATAAGTTTAAAAATAATAAACTTTTAAAAATATATTAAATATGCAATGGTATAGGTAACATTCAAATAAGAGTGCAACTTGTCAAGGTGATCCACTAATAATTGAAGTTTGGCCCGGCTGGTGTGGCTCAGGGGTTGAGCGTCGACCTATGAACCAGGAGGTCACGGTTCGATTCCCGGTCAGGGCATATGCCCAGGTTGTGGGCTCAATCCCCAGTGTGTGGCCTACAGAGGCAGCCGATCAATGATTTTCTCTAATTATTGATGTTTCTATCTCTATCTCTCTCTCCCTTCCTCTCTGAAATCAATAAAAGTATATTTTTAAAAAAAGATAACTGAAGCTTGGGAATCATCATGCAGTAAATAAAAAGCTGACATAGACATAACACTTTTTTTTTTTTGGTTAATCCCCATCCGAGATTATTTTTCCATTGACTTTTAGGAAGAGTGGAAGAGAGAAGGAAAGACAGAGAAACATCAATGTGAAAGAAATATATCAATTGGTTGCCTCCTGCACGAGCCCTAACTAGGGCTCAGGCCAGGGAGGAGCCTGCAACCAAGGTACGTATCCTTGACCAGAATCAAACCCTTTGGTCTATACGCCAATGCTCTATCCACTGAGCCAAACCAGAGAGGGTGGTCACAGCACTTTTATGTGCATACTCTTTTGATTAAAGCACTTCTTGACAAACGTATCATCTATGTTACTCTCAGCTTGTCTTCCTAAAAAAATAAAGATAGGATATTTGACTTTGTGGAGAAAGAGTCACAATATATTAAGTAAAAAAAAAACAGGTTCTAAGAATTTATAACAGGATCCAAATTATTAACAATGTTTATCTTAGATGACAAGATTAAGTTGTTTACTTTTAGTTTTTGCTTGAAAGCTTTCTAATTTTTCTATCTCCAAATAATTATTTGAAATAAGAAAAGAGATCATTCTAATCGTCTTTAAAAAGAATCTGCTACTGCCCTGGCCAGTGTGACTCAATGGTCAGAGTGTTGGCCTGCACACCAAAGGGTCTCTGGTTCGATTCCCGGTCAAGGGCTTCTACCTGGGTTGCAGGTTCAATCCCTGGCCCCTTTCGGGGCTCATGGAGGCAACCAATTGATGTGTCTCTAACACATCAATGTTTCTCTCTCTCTCTCCTTTCCACTCCCTCTAAAAGTCAATGGAAAAAATATCCTCAGGTAAGGATTAACAACAACAAAAAGAATCTTTTACTTCCCTAACCGGTTTGGCTCAGTGGATAGAGGCTCAGTGGATAGAGCGTCAGCCTGCAGAATGAAGGGTCCCAGGTTCAGTTCTGGTCAAGCGCATGTACCTTGGTTGCGAGCACATCCCCAGTAGGGGGTGTGCAGGAGGCAGCTGATCAATGTTTCTCTTTCATCGATGTTTCTAACTCTCTATCCCTCTCCCTTCCTCTCTGTAAAAAAATCAGTAAAATATGTATTTTTAAAAAAAGAATCTCCTACTGATGAACATTTAGGTTACTGCCAATTTTTAGATATTTCAATTAATGTTATAAATAAAAAATCTTTTGAAGTAAAGTTGCAAGACAAAAAAATATATATAAATTTGATATATTACCAAATTATTCACTAAAAATACTGTACCAATTTACAATCCCACTTATGAGAATACCTGTTTCCCCAACACTAGGCAACACTAAGTATTATTCTTTTCATTTTATTTCCCAAATGGCTAACCAATTACTCCAACCATAAATTAACTAGAGATACATATGTATGTATGTAAATTAATAAATTAATTTATCAATAAATTAACATATATTTAATTTAATGTATTTATATATATTAATTTAATGTGTTTATTATGTTAATATATACATATGTTCTAATTTATATATACCATATATATTTTTAGAAAGAATAACTAAAAGGGCTAAAAGCTGTTGTTTTCTATAACAAGGTACTTTTACATTTTTCTATTATTTGAATTCGTTACAATATGTATTACTTTTAAAATCAGCAGGGGTGGGGGGGAGAAAAATACTCTTTTTTTCTTTTAATCTGCAAAGTTAAACTACTAATCAGTTCCCAAAATAAATCTCCAGCTCTTAGAAGATGAATAGTATTATTTCTTTCAAAACTTTTCTGATTATATATAAACTAGAGGCCCGGTGCACAAAATTCGTGCACGGGAGAGGGGGAGTCCCTCAGCCTGGCCTGCACCCTCTAGCAATCTGGGACCCCTCGAGGGATGTCTGACTGCCGGTTTAGACCCGATCCCACTGCGGGCCTAAACCGGCAGTCGGACATCGTCCTCACAATCCAGGACTGCTGGCTCCTAACCACTAGCCTGCCTGCCTGATCGCCCCTAACCACTCTGCCTGCCTGCCTGATCACTCCTAACCGCCTCTGCCTTGGTCCCCACCACAGCGGCTTCGTCCAGAAGGACATCCGGAAGGTCGTTCAGCTGTCCGGTCTAATTAGCATATTACGCTTTTATTATTATAGATGAAACTAAACAATTTTTCTTCTCCATGAGACCCTCAAAACGGACTTTCTAATTTAAATGTAGAGAGGCCAACAAAGGAGCCACACAATTTGGAAAGAAATCACTGAGTCTGAAGTAATTTCTAACATGCTAAACATGGGTCTACAGTGTCTAACATTCTGTTACATCTAAAACATTCTATTACAATAAAATCAGCAGCATGGTGAAAAAAGAGAATGAATTTTTTAAAAATTTAGTCGAAAACCAGTTCCAGTCCCCAAACTACCATGTATAAGCTTGACCCTGGACAAGTCAACCTTTTTGGGCCATAGTTTCTTTACTTTACAAAGGAGAATGACACCAGAAAAGTAACAGGGTTGTTGTGAGTCTCAAAAGAAATCGTGAATTAAAATTATATTTTTATTAATACAATTCTATTAATTTTTATTAATTCAATCTGAGCAAAATGATTATTATCTGAGACTTATTTCTACATGAAAAGGACCATCAGATACAAACATTCCTCTATCCACGCCAAGGCGTGTTCTTTAAACATGCTTCCAATGGCATGTTTTGGCTGTTATGTAGCATTCCACTCACTCAACAAATGCTTTTTTAGTACCTCAAACTCACTCAGAATAGAAAAATACAAACTTAAACTATACTATAAAACTATTTTATCCGATTGGCAAAAATTCAGAAGTTTGATTGTAGAGGCTGTTGGTGAGGCTCTGGGAAAAAGGACAGAGCAAGTGGAAGTAGACAAGGACACTTTTCTAACAGCTGCCATAACTGCCGCGTACACCCTCTCTTTGTAATTTTACTTCTTGGAATGTACAAAATAATGTGCTTGTAAAGTTATTCAATACAGTACTATGTGTACAGCAAAAGATTGGATCCACCTATAAATGCCTACTAATAGGAGCTAGTTAAATAATTTATTCAATGCAAAATAAGGAAAGCTCTCTATGAACCAATCTGGAAAAACATTTAGGGCATGAAAAAACATTTTAAATATGGAAAAATATTTAGGGTATATTAAGTTAAAATTTCAAGCACAGAAATATATATACCTTGGTACTATTTTTACTTATATTTGTATAAAGAATCTCAGGAAAGATAAACAAGAAAGGAATAACTGGTTGTCAGGGTGGGGTGGAAAACTAGGGAGCTTGGACAGGTGAAAGGAAGACTAATACAAACCTATATACACACACAAACATATATGTGTGTATGTATGTATGTATACATACACACTTTCTATATATGAACTGCACTTTATATATATTCTAAACCATGGACTGCGTTACCTATTCAAAAAATTAATGGAAAAAAATATATTTAAGAGCTCAGTATGTGCCAAGCATCATTCCAAGTATTGGAGACATTGCAGTAAACAAAAGTTACCTAAAAATTACTGACCTACAAATTTCTGCCCTCATAAAGCTTACATTCTAGTGGAGAGAGACATACATTAACCAAATAATTAAACAAGTAGTATGCCATATGATCTTAAGTATTGTGGAGAAAAATAAAGCACAAAAGACAGGAAAAGAATAGTCACAATTTTTAAAAGGGATTAGTCAGTGATCAGGAGAGTTTCTCTGAGAAAACATTTGGTATAAAGACCTTAAAGGAGGTGGAGGAGCTCGTCATATAGATGTAGGAGGAAAGTGTGCCCAGGACAAAGACAGAGTAAGTACAGAAGCTTTTAAATTGGATAAACTTGATATATTCAAGGAAAAGCAAGGTCTGTGTGGCTGGAACAGAGAAGAGTAGAAGGAGATGAGTTCCAAGAGGTAACAGAGGATCAGATCATGAAAGGCTTTTTGGAAAACTTAATAAGGATTTTAGCTTTTACTGAATAAGATGAGAAGGCACTGCCGAAACCGGTTTGGCTCAGTGGATAGAGCGTCGGCCTGCGGACTGAAAGGTCCCAGGTTCGATTCCGGTCAGGGGCATGTACCTGGGTTGCGGGCACATCCCCAGTAGGAGATGTGCAGGAGGCAGCTGATCGATGTTTCTCTCTCATCGATGTTTCTAACTCTCTATCTCTCTCCCTTCCTCTCTGTAAAAAATCAATAAAATATATTTAAAAAAAAAAAAAGATGAGAAGGCACTGAAGGGTTTTAAGGAGAGGACATGATCTCACTTTCATTTTAATGAGATCTGGGTGAGAACATAATGAAGAGGGTACATGAGCAGGCAAACCTGCTAAAAGTCTACTTCAATAATTCAGGCAAGAGATGACAGTGGTTTGGAGATATAAGCAGTGATTGGCTTATGGATATATTTTGATAGCTAAGAGCCAAAAGTATTTGCTGAAAGATTGGATGTGGGACATAAAAAAAAGGACAATTCAGGAAGATTTCAAGGTTTTTGGCCAAGGAAATGAAAGGATGGAGTTGCCATTTTCTGAAAGAAGGAAGAATACAGGAGGTGGTTCAGAGCTAGAATATCAGAAACTCAGTTTTGAATATATCAAGTTTAAGTTACTACTAGACTCCAAAAAGAGATGTAGAGTAGGCGACTGACTACAGGAGTATGAGTTCAGAGGGGAGGTCCAAGCTAAGAATATAAGTTTGCAAGTTGTTAGTGATAAATGATATTTAAAACTATAAGACTTGGATGAGATCACCAAAATGGATTGTATAGAGTTTGTCTTCTGATGTATTCAAAATAGCTGGTTGATGTTCCAGGAGAAGACAGGCACTCACATTTCACGGTGAGAAAATAACTATGGCTTAAAACAACCTTGATTTTATAAATATTCCAAATTTATGAGGAAACCAGGATTAAAACCTAGCTCCTCATACATAACACAAGGCTTTGTTCTCTGGAAATGTGATAACTAGAAAGGCAGACAGTCTCCTAAGAGCACTAAAAGATGTCAATTTTTTTTTTAATCTCATATATAACTTCTTAGGATCTGCTGTGAATTCAGCTGAAATAAAAGAATAACTTAGAAATCATCATTTCAAATATTCTTCCAATAAAAACACTATCTTTTAAAATTAACGATGCTACTAAACAAGTGGTACTGGTGGTTTTGTGTGAAGAGCCAACTGGCTTTCTATCATGGTCATCCTACACCAAGGGCCACATAATGTTCATGAAATGAATAACTGGACCATGAATTTGTCATCATAGGTCCAATAAGACAAGGTGGTATAACTAGGTTTAGTAAGGAAAGAGCTTCTTGGCTCCTCCTGTTATAGGTAAGTTATAGGCCCAACAAAACCACCATGAATAGACTTCATTCATCCATGACATTTTGGAGCAGAAGAAAGTCCCAGAAATCATCAATCCTCTCATTTTAGAGATAAGTTAACGAAATGCCATCTAGTGACAGACTCAAAACCACCACCAACACTGGACTTCCCTGTGGTCTGTCACCAGCTATTCCCTAATTGTTTTAGTGATCATTTTATTGAAATAGAGAAACAGTCTATGATCACTTCTAAGCTCAAAATGTAATCTGAGCTAGAAGACCAAAAACAAGAACAAAAAAGATGACTTTCTTTATATCTCTTAGACAAGTTTTTACATCATGATCATCAACCAGTCCTGTGACTATTCTCTTTTTAGAAACTACTATTATGATTATTAACATTACAATTCTAATAACAATTGCTATCATTTACCACATACCTAAAATGCACTAAATACTATGTTAATTACTATTATCAGAGGTAACACTGAAGCAAGGATACAGAAGTTCTATGAAGATAACCAAGAACTAATTGTACAGAAATCTATCAAACATTTAAAATACTCTGGCATTGTCATATATTGCCAATGATAAAACCAATTAGTGAGCAGTAGCTCAAATGTTTTAAGATCTGCAAAATTGCTTATACCTTTAGGACAAATAGCAACCAAACTGTTTATTTTCCTCTGGACACAAAGGAAGACATTTCCCAGGCCCTTTTCACCTAAAAAGAACGACTCAAATGTATGGCCAATAGAATGTAATGGAATTAAGCTGGGCCATTTCCATTAAGAAAATTTCCCTCAAATAATCCCTCTCTTGCCATGCCAGAGGTCATGTGTTGGTGGCAACAGCATTCCAAATAGAAGGAGCCTGGGTACCTGAGGCACCACTTATCGGACATCTGCCAGGACACTACCTGATAAAGAACACCTGCACTGAACTTAGTTTAAGAAATGTATTATGTTAAGCCACTGAGATATGTGGCATTTGTTACAGTAGCTAGCATTAATCATTAAAATTACTACAATTGTTTTTAAAATATGCAATGGTGCCCGGGCCAGTGTGGCTCAGTTTGTTAGAGTGCCGTCCTATACACTGAAATGTCGCGAGTTCAATTCCCAGTCAGGGCACATACCCAGGTTGTGAATTCCCCTTGGGCACATAGGGGAGGCAAATGATCCATCACTCTCTTTCTTTCTTTCTCTTTCTTTCTTTCTTTCTTTCTTTCTTTCTTTCGTTCTCTCTCTCTCTCTCTCTCTCTCTCTCTCTCTCTCTCTCGTCAATAAAGAACAAATCTATCCTCAGGTGAGGATAAAAATATGTATATGCATGCAATGGTCAGAATAAAAAATAAGAATGAAATAAAATTATGTGAAAATGGCAGATTTCAGAGTCCTTTTTCATCCTTAAAAATTATTTTAATGCTATTTAAAATAGGGGTCGGAGGGTTCTACTCTATGTAATCCCTGACTGAATGTTTTAATGAGCATATGCTGGTATTAAAATTTTTTAAGTTGTTAAACAACTACTGCTTTAATAATGGTTTGGAAAAGTAATTAAAACCAAAAGATAAATGTCATTTGAATATTTCATCTTTGCCACAGGAAAAAAGTTAAAAAATAAATCCTTAGTAACTTTCAATAAAATAATGCCACCGTTTGTTAATATAAGACCTTTAATCACATCATACCAAGTGTCATCACCTTCTCAGCTGATCCTCATAAAAATCTGTCTTGCCGGCTTCACAGAACCTCCTTATTCCCGTTTTACAAATGGGAAAATTTAGGTTCAAAAAGCCATAGTCTTTTGCCAAAGTCATACAGCTAGAGAACAGCTGAGCTAGAACTAGTATCGATATTTTCAATCCTAATCCAATACCCCCGTCATTATACTTGCTTCTCTTCTTACACCACCTGGCATAAGGTCACCGATTATATCAAAGTGCTTTTCACGCAATATGTATTCAAAAGACGCTTGTGATTTTGAATAAAATATCTGCTCTACTCTTAGAACTGTCACTTATGGAAGAATCAACATTTCAATACATAAAACTTAATTCATAAAAACCATGACAATTCTTATAAAAAATGACTCCATATTCACAAGGAATTACAGATATGAGAAAATATTAACTAGGACCCAATTTTACCATAGTATTAAAGAAAGCAATTACATTTTTTAAAAAAGCAAATTAGTACTGGATACTGGCCTCATATATTTTAAGTGGCAGCTACTGGAATAAAGATATTAATAACACTCATAAAGGAATGATAAACTTATCAATGTAAGGCTTAGTTATCTGAAAGAACTACTTAAACGTCATGTTTCTTTAATATATATAACTGCTCAGGGAAATATTTTCACAGCATGACAATTTAGCTTTCCAGTAAGCAATAACAGCAAGAGGCACTTGTGTTACAAAAGAATAAAAATGAGACGTAATGACCTGTGGGGAGTGAGTCCACAGATTCCCTTACCTTTATATATCTTTTCAGAATTACACAAGTGAAGTGTGAAGTAGGTATCAAGGAGTTGATGGCCATTTCTATTAACAATGTTCCGGGCAGCAATGTTCCGAAGGTGTCTAAGACGACGCTAAAAAGTAGCCAAAAATAAAGAGAGAGAGAGAGGTGCTCAGCTTTTTCCTCTTATAAAATTTTCTGAAAGTTACAATTCAAAAATGAAAGACAGTAAGTTGTCCCAGTCATCTATTTGTTGAGACAGCAACCTTAATGGAGTTTCTTATTTATGTCTCAGTATCCCCTCCCTATTCATTTACAAGGTTAAAAAAATGTCACTTTCATGTTGCGAGCATGAAATGACAATATGAAATGTTTTTGAAAAGCATAAATGTTACATAGGTGCTATTTACCTGCAGAATAGCCTTAGTATTTCCTGGAACATAAACTAAGTAGTAATTTGCTTTTTTTCCCTTTCAGAAGGATGTGCTGGTAGACATGCCAAGTCCATCTCAAACCAACAGAAAATCAGCAGCTATTACAGACGTACAACCCTATTGCTAGTTCAGACCATCTATCTGTACAACCAAGAAAAGAGGCCAAAACCAAAATATAAGCGCAATTACTCGTGGTCACTCCATCCAGCCGATAATTCAACTGTCGTGAGCTTAGATTCTCACAACCAGCAGCCACCCAAGCTCTGTTTCCTAATCAGGCCTCCTTCTCAACAATTTATCAAACGAGGGTGCATGAATTATTTGGAGTTACAAGTGTGTTAGAAAGGCAAAAGCTCCTAACTAACAGTACAAATCAACAAAAATACAAGATAACTTAAGGGATAGCCAAATCATCTCAAATCACAATGAAAAAATGCTGGCAATGCTGAAATCTGAGATTCCTTCCCAAAAGCTGGTTCTCTGTGTCAAATGATTATTTTTGGAGACTTAAAAATAGAAACAAAGTGCTCAGTTTTAAAATATGCTTAAAGCTCTCCCTTCAGGCTAAAAGACAGCCTATTCTACTGAGGTAAGTCCATCTTTAGTTACATGCGCAGTCAACCAGAAAAGTACAGTGCTTTCTTTACATGCAATCCTTTCTCCCAATCCAGAGATTAAGATTCTTTAAGAGAGAAGGTTATTGTCTAATAAATTTGTTTAACCCCCTACGTATGAAAAGTCCCAAATGTATTTACAGAAAGTTCCCAGGGCTTATTCTAAAAGACTCATTTTCCCACAATCTGCAGTTTCCATTTCACACCCTGGATTACAGCAACGATTTCCTCCTACTATATATTTCCATTAGCCCTCTCAGTCAAGATCTTAAATTGACAGGCCCACTAATTATTGCCTACACACAATAATCACGTTTATTTTGCTGTAAGACTGCAATCCTGTACTCTATTGAAAGGCTTGAGAATATTACCCAAAGCTTCTAGCACCAAATACAAACTTCCCATTACTGTCTTCAAAGCCTGTGCAATCCGACATCTCCACATCCTATCCTGACTTCACACTAGACCTCAGTCACACATGACAGCTACGGTTCCATGCATGTTCCTAGCTCCATGCTTTTGCTAGAAATGATCTAGAATACCATTCTCTTTAAAGAGATCCCATTTCCACTTCAAAGTTAAGGAGACAAGATTCCTTCTTCCTTAGCTCTAGCTGAAATTAATTGCTCCTTTCTTAGGATAAAAAGAACTTTGCTTCTATCTCTTCTATACACTTATTTTCATTCAGCCTTGTACTTCAGGGAGTTGTTTACAGTCATTTTCCCTATGAACCTAGGAAGAAAAGACTTAATGGCAGAGACCATTACCATCACTATACTGTTAGCACTTATTAAATGCTTACCATGTGCCATGTACTGTCCGAAACACTTCATACATGTGACCTATTTAATCCTCATAACAATCCTATGAGGTTAGGATTACTCACTATCATTATTCATCTTTTAATCTCAACATTTCTAAGTAACAAAATATAAACAAAGAAATAAAATAGTAAATGATAAATAATGAGAGGGGTATCTCAAAAGAAGGAAAGCAGGAAGAAAGCAAAGAGGTTATATGTATCTCTCCATACACACACACACACACACACACACACACACACACGTATATAACATATATATCTATATATACCTAATAGATATAATCTGGTCTTTATACTTTATTGCTACAGAGGGCAGAGCATTGACCTATCCTTCAACTCAAGAGAGTAATTTTATGACAAATACAAGGACAACGGGACTGACTGCCTTAACAAAGCAGGATGCAGGGCTTGGACAGAGACTGAACTGTAATGAATGCACAGATATTGCTGAAGGGATCTTTGTAATTAAATTACAGTCTTTGGAATTACTCTTCAAAATAACATTCCATGCAGCTTTCTTTGTCAACAATCTCTAAACTTTCTCAAATGCTCCAAGCTTTCAGTTATAAAATATTCTTGGCATTTCATTCTACAGCAATAACTTTAGGCAGCGAAGTTATGCACTAGTAACACTGATCTCCAAATCTAAAACTGAATAGAATTTAATTTTTAAGTTGGACTTAACATAACCTTAAACACTTAACATATTTTAAACACTTCCTATAAGATATCCTATATAGAGGTTAAAAACATTCACTAAATCGTTTTTCTTGAAATATTAATGTTTATTGCATGTAACATTATTATATTTGAAATTGTTTTTCTTGAAAATTAAAAAAAAGAACATTCACTAGCATCTAAAATTAAAACCTCTTATTCACCTTTGATTTGGAGGCCCGAAGGATGTAATTAAAGCACAACTCTGCTACCTGAAATGCTGGCAGTGGGCAAAGGATAGTATGACTCGAAATTCCTTAATTTTTTAACAAATCTTTCCAGAATAATTTCTAAAACAAGACTTAAGTGGCATGCACTGTAGATCTGAAACATTTGCTTTTGTTTTTTTAAAAAATGAATTACTCATTAGTATGATTGTAAACTGGTGCCTCTAGATGTTGTAATAGAGTGAAGAAAAAGCCAAGGTCTCAGGTACTCATGGACCTGATATAAAAAGACAAGTCACAGAAATAGACGTGGTCAATAAACGTATGAAAAGATGTACAGTTAACCTTTGAACAGGGGCACCTATCCACCCCCACACAGTGGAAATTTCATGTATAATTTTTGACTCCCAAAAAACTTAACTATAATAGCCTACTAATGACTAGAAGGAAACCTTACTGATAACATAAACAGTCAATTGACACATATTTTGAATAAGCATTTTATACTGTATTCTTACAATAAAGTAAGCTAGAGAAAAGACAATGTTATTAAGAAAATCATAAAGAGAAAATACATTTGCCGCACTGTACTGTATTTATCAATATCATAAGTTTATGATGTCTTTTTACTAGATGAATCGTGTCAATACCTACATCAATATTGTCTTATATGATAAATATAAAACACTGCAGATGTTAAACATATTACTAAAACTAAACATCCAAAAATGAAAAGGTAATGTGAAAAAGAAATTCATATTTATTTAGAAGTATAACAATTCATGCATTGGTAATGAAGAAGCATCAATCTGGTACCCTAGGATAATCAATATGACTGCTTCACAGCAGTAAGGAAATCTCCAAAAATTTTTCCAATATATTTATTGCAAAAAATCCACATATAAGTGGACCCACACAGTTCAAACCCATGTTGTTCAAGTGTCAACTGTATAATCATAATTATAGATATGCACGCCAAAACAAACATTCTACCTTGTGGCAGACTGCAGTTTCCAAATGGCTGCACCAATACTTCCCATCCCACATGTTCTTTTATAAGAGATGTTGCCACTTCTCCATTATAAAGTGGGGGTCTATGTTCCATCTCCCTTAAACTTGGGCAGGCCTGTGATGGTGGTAAAAATGATGCTAGGTGGCTTCTGAGGCTAAATCATATAATCACCTCGTCCTCTTACAGGATGCTCTTCCTTGGAATTCAGTCACCCTGCTACGAGGCTGCCAAGCAGCCAGATGGAAAGGATTTCCGTGGTGTTCTCCTCAGCCCCAGATGAGATCCCAGCTAAAGCAGACATATGACCATTTCAGTCCTCAGCCTTTGACACTCAGAAATGAATGACATCAAGTAAAGCACAGAAAAGTAGTCCCCACCAAGCCCAAACTGACCTGAATAATTGTGAGCAAAATAAATAATGATGTTGTTTTAAGCCACTAAATTCTTTGTTTGTTACTCAGCAACAGAAAATGAAGAGACCTATCTGATTAAAGAGTCAAACTATTTTATCTCGGTCAAGGTCTATTATGAGTAAGGAAAACAATGTTGGGAGAAATATAAAAAGGTCCAATTTGATGGGAGGGCAATTTAGCAATAATTATCAAACTTTAAATTGCATATAATATTTGACCAAGCAATTCCCTAAGTCACAAAAATGTGCACAAATATGCTAATTCCGATGTTGGCTATAAAAGCAAAAAATAAATAACCACTCTTAAATTGTGGTACACACATACAAAGGAAAACTAACTATATAACCATTTTTTTTAAAGTGCCAATACATAACAAAAACAAGAGAACAAGAAATTTTAAATGTTCATGTAAAGAAATATACTTTGTATCCTGAATGATGTAGATCAAGAGTTGGCCAACTTGTTTCATAGAAGGTCAAAGAGTAAAGACTTCCTCTTTTCAGGGCACATCCTGTCTCTGCACATTCTTAGTGTTTATGTTTGTTTACAATCCTTTAACAATGTAAAAACCTTTCTTACCTCATCAGTTGTTATAAAAAACAGTGACTGTTTGCTGACCCTAATGTAGATCATCACAAATATTATGAGACTAGAGGCCGGGTGCACGAATTCATGTACCAGTGGGGTTCCTCGGCCTGGCCTGCGGGATCAGACCGAAACCAGCTCTCTGACATCCCCTGAGGGGCCCTGGATTGCAAGAGGGCACAGACCAGGCTGAGAGACCCCACTGATGCACAATCAGGGCTGGGGAGGAACGCGGGAGGTTGGCCAGCAGGGGACAGATCACAGGAGGGCTTCAGGGCATGTCCAGCCTGTCTCGCTCAGTCCCCATCAGCCGGACCCCAGCAAGAGCGTCTGCCCCCTGGTGGTCAGTGCACGTCATAGTGAACGGT